AACTATTAGTGGTTTTTAATGGATTAGGTGACAATGAAAACTTAAACCTTAGCTTCAACCTGCATGATAAGTATTTCTTTTTTTTTTGGACAACATGCAAATGGATCTTGAGACATAGCGCCATTAAAACCCAGCTACTGCAGTCTTGACCTGCCCCATGCATCACATGTGGCTATCAGTCCATGGTGTGAGCAAGAACACGCGCATATACTAACATTGTTTTCAAACCAATTTGACTGCCACCACAACTTTAATATAACGGGCAGTTATGAAAAGATGCAAAAAAAGTTAAACAAATTGCCACCACAACTCAACTGCAATGAAGTACCAAATTCCACATTGTCAACAAAACATTGACCAGAACATCCCAAAATTTCTATTGGCCACTAGAATTCTCTTTAAAAGAATGTAAGAAACACCGTATTCATATATTTCATCGTGACTTTTGTTGAGAATTTTTTATGAGATACAGTATTTCTAAACAAATTCTTACTACTGTAGTGAGGAGGAGAGAAATTTCTTGAGTGCAGCAAAAAGTGGCCCGTTCTAACCAAAATCGGCTGGTTAGAGTGGAACCAGGACCCTTTCGGTTTCGATTAGCACCGGTTTTGAGGTACTAATTATGGGATAAACCCCCCCCCCCCGAAAAAATTTCTGCACCAAAACCGGTCGGAAACTATTCGAACCAACTAGTTTTTTACTTAATCGGACCGGTGTATTTAAAAACATGTTATAACGTTATATAACTGCCGTTATGAAATAGATCCCGTTATTTGCAGCACTGGCTGGTTATTTGCAGCAGAACCGGTGATTTTTTTTTTTATTCAATTCTTTCACCTTTTTCAAGCTTTTTAGTCAATTATTGACCGAAATAATTGATTTTACATTATAAAATGATGGATTTCCAACTGGAAACATGTCAGAATTCAAAATTTTGAAGCCTTTTTTTTGGTGTTCCTGACGGTTTCGAAAAAATCTGCCAAAGTAAATGGAGTTCTATATTTGTCCTTCCCTCTAAAATATTTTTATAGGAGTGAGGCTTGGGCTTCAATGGTTAATATCGAAGATGATTGACGAAAGCATTTGCATTTTTCAATGTCAAAAAATTTTCATTTGATTATTTATAGAAATTTATATTTTATGTCACAATGTGGCACATCTAATATTCACAATGGAAACATTGCTAACATTGAACAGGCATAGAGCTTTAGAAGGATTTAGCAAGGAAATTCTTTCAAAATCTGCAAAACACAATCGGAACAAGTCCGAAGGCAGAGCAAACATTGAGAAGTCACAAGCTTCTGCAGTGAAACAGTGGTTTAACAACATTATCAAACCCAATGATCTGCATAACCAATCTCCTTTCGATGAAGAACACTCGCAAAATGGGCCTAACATGGGGGTCCAAAGCAAACAACCAAGAAGAAGATCAAGGTTCCAAGATGAGTTAGCAAGCACCGCAAGAGAAATTACGTCAAAGAGATCCTTTAAGAATCTCAAAGAGGACCAAGTCTTATCACCACCGAAGAATTTAGTGGAGTCATTGAATAGGAGATCGATATCTTCTTCTACTTGCTCAATTGATAGGATTCAATGTGATGAGGAGGAGGAGAAGCAAGATGATGTGGTTTCGATTCCCTTGGAAGATGTTGCATGCCTCAATTCATTCCTTAAGAAGCAAAGGCGTAGAATTGAGAAAATTTCAAGAGGGGAGATGGCAGTTCAGGCTAAGATCCTATTGTCTGGATCTTCAAATGGTAAGTAGAAGCAAAAATAACTGGCCAACTCTCAAACTAAGTTTTAGCCATAGTTTGTTCATACTTCAAGCTCTAAATTTCATAAGAAAAAAGTTGTCATTTTAGCTGTTTCGTCAAAGTATCATGTGATAAAATTAGGACTAACAACTGTTACAATGTAGGCGCAAGTTCCATGGTAGCTGCAATATGCTACGCATGGCTTTTACAGAATGAAGAGAAGGAGAAAGAGGAGATCGGGGTCATCGTTCCTGTAATGAACATGAAAAGAGGTAGGATGTGGAAGCATAGGGAGGCTGCTCGACTCTTCCATGATACTGGAATTGATGCAATGAGCTTGCTCTTCTCTAACGAGGTAATTTCACCTTCACTTTCCATTCTTTCGATGTCATTGCCATATATGATATCAAATGTCTATTACTAATCAGTAACTAGAAGGACTCTTTGATCGGCTGTAACAACCTTTATCCTTGTAAATTACATTCCACAAAACACCATTAAGACTTAAAACACTTTCTTATAACTAAAACTCAACCCAATATTATTCATTCAGCACATAACAATCTATCACTGAGGGTAGGCACAAAAAGGGTTGCACCATTTAGTTTATGTACTAAAAACTCAATCTTTTAATGGGAGTTACACTTAACTTTCTCGTAGTTCAAGCAACATAATAAGCTTAAGGAGGCTTATTTTCTTTTTATTTTTGCTTATGTTTCGGGAGATAAACTGGGTCCAGCCTACCCCTTAAGCAGGCTTTAGATCCCTTATGTGGGGAAAATTCACCCAATATCTGACACATGGGAAAGTGATCGTCTTCAATATGAAATTGGTAATTAGCATGATGCTTAGGACAATGTCTTTTGTAATATTGTTGCATTATTCAGCTTTTTATTAACTTGTGGTAGTCGAATTGATCAGTGACTTACCTTACTGTACTCATTATACCATTTTATTTTTCAACTTGCATACTCCCATCATGACGATTTGGCCGCTGATGTTTGTCCCCGCTCAACATTTGGCTTTTGTTACTTCTTTCTTTGCCTTTTCCATGGTACAAGAATATAAGTTTAATGAAGCTTGTTCTGATGGTAATGAAGATTCGATCATCACATCTTCATATTAACATGTACCTGCAACTTTCCTTCTCCATTGCTTAGGCTTCTCATCTGGGTGCAAATTCCAACACTCATGTGATATATGACCTCTTCTGGCAATGCTCACAATACTTGCGTTCTTTTGTATTCCTGAATCAACTATCTTTTTTAGTTTCTTGCCACTTTCCTTTGAGACATTGTTATTTCATGGAATTCCATGGTTGCCTAAATTTAGGAATACACTTCTCCAATTACATAGCAATTTGGCGTATGATGTTTGCATCCCCTCAATTTGTTTTTCTTTTTTCCCTTCGCCTTGGTATGAGGATTTATGGGTAATGAAGCTTGTTCTCATGGTAATGAAGATTCAATCATCATGTTTTTTTTTTTTTTTGGTGAATAAGATTCAATTATCATCTTTATATTGACATGTACCTGCAACTTCCTTGATCCATTTCTTGGGCTTCTTTTCTGGGTGAGAATTCGAACTCTCATTTGATATATGACCGCTGTTCTGACATTGCTCACAATACTTATCCTTTGTATTACTGAATCAGCATTCTTGTGTAGTTCCTTACCACTTTCTTTTGAGTCTTTGTTGTTTCCAGACAGCTCACCAATATGGCAATCGTCAAATACTGCCAATCCATTTCTTTTATGGTACTCCAGACCGCCCTTGTATTTTATCTCAAGTCATTTGGTCTTGTGGATTTACCCTGAGAAACACTGCTAATGTAATTTAGTAGTATAACCTGAAACAGTGCACTGGTTTTTGGTGCAATAATTACGTCATTCAATTTTTCTTGGTACACAATTGTATAGCGATGGCTTCGTGCTATGTATGAATCAGAGGCTGGTTGTCGACATCTAGGCCAGCCACATATGCCCCCACCATTTTAGTGCTTGTCCACCAAGTTTACCTTCACTGGCATAATTTCCATTGTTCATAATATTGTTTGATATTGAATTCAAGCACCAACTAATTTGGCCACTCATCCAATTTTCGCACTCGATTTCTAGATTGTACATAGGGAATGGTTCCATCTATCTGATTTTATTGCTGGAAAAAGCAGTAGAATTTTTTTTTTTTGGCTTAAAACTGATCCTGAATCTTTCTTATTTGCAATCAACTCTTTTAACATAGTCATCATGTTTTCCATAGTCCTCTCTGTAATTGAGACCCTACATGGGAGTTCTTCCTTAATGGAAATTTCTCCCATTATGGGATCTCTCTTGCTAAGTTCTCCTTTCCAGCTTCCAATTTTAGGATTAAATGAATTCTCTATTGGAGGATATGGACTTGTATGCATAAGTCTCCCAAACATAAACTACTCTGATACTGAAACTTCATCTATAATAAGACTCAGCCAAGCACTTGGATTATAAAATCATCCCTGATTGCGCTGGTTGTGTGTTCAAGCATTTAGTTATAAAGGAGATAAGATTGTCCTATGTAGTGTCATTGAGCGCAAGTATTTAATAATAAACAAGATAAAATAACCAAAAGCATGAGGAACAGATATCCTTTTAGCATGTTAAAAACCCTAACCTAGGAAACATCCATATTTCACCATGAAATTGAAAAGGAATTAGAAAGCAAGAGGAACTCAATCATTAAAATTTGATTGTCATAGAAAAGGCGGTAATGGCCTCTTATCAGACTGTTCCTCTAGAGATCACCTTAAAAGTGAGAATCAAATAATTGTCTTAGATAATAAAAAATCCTATTATATATTTTAAAATTATGAAAAAACTGTGATAATGATATAATGAATTCAAGTTCTGTGCTTTAAATTTTAAGAGCATGAGGGACACTTAATCTAAAGTTTGAAAGGGAAAGAAAGTCTATTAATAAAATATGTTAAATAAGAGGAACGATTGCAGGTCAAAGACCGAAACCAGACATGTTCAATTGTCATCACACAAGTTTATTTTGATTCATATCACTTGATTTATTGGATATGAATTCTCTTAACCATTCTCCAGTACCTAGGTGGAGCATCATTTCTCTAGTATGCTTTGAATCTCATCCTATTGTAGTGATAGAAAATAGTAAAACTCATTTGTTTGTTCTATTAATATATTAGAGTTTGCTATAGAAATAGACTATCTAAAACATAGAATGGAGCATGTCTTAGAATGATGTAGCACTTAAACAAAGCAATAAATAAGCATTGATAGAAACAAAACAGCTGGTGTTCAAGCCCTTGACTCTATAGTTTGGGCATCAGAGCTTACAACCTCCTTAATTTTTCTTCCAAGGAGAAGACGGATTTGAGCAATGAGAGATCATTCATATCATTCCAGATTTGTATCTTGTTTCATACAAGTTTTCTTCTAAACTACTGTTTCCAATTAGGTTCACATTGTAATGATTTTGAACACAATACTCATGATTATGAATAAAATTCAATGCACTCTGTTTATTTTAACAGAGCATGGAGTACTAGTTATCTATTTGGGTAAATGGTGCACCTAGGTTAAACTGATACATGTTACCAAATTGCATGATTTTCATAACTATGGTCTTGACTTTTGTAAATTTGTTTCTAGTTCACACTTGCATTTGGATTTCTTAAGCAATGCAATCTTTTATTACTTTGGGAACAGGTGGATTTGGAGAGCCTCGTGTTGGCCAGGCGTCTAAGCATCCTTGTCATTGGACAAGATGTGCTCAAACCAAACAGTGAGGTAAATTCCTTATTCAGATGACTTCAGATATTTTCTTTTTTTGTTCTTTTTTTTCAATATCATAATTAAATGTTCCATGAAGTCACTTTGAAACTATGGCACCCAGTTGTGAATTATGTAAAAATGGTTTGGAAGACTTTATTCCTTTAGCTCTTCTTTTCATGGTTCATTCGTTTCAAAATAGCTGCTAATTTTTTCAAGACTGATGCTACAGTAGAAGGTATTAATATTGATCTGCTTGAACTCTATGTATTTATTTGCTTAGTTTTTGTCAAACTTTAATTGATTTTCTTGCTAGTAGTTTCCTTCTGTATCATGTGTATGCTGGTTATTTGCTTCTTAGGTGTTACATTATTTAATTATTGAACAAATTTTGAAATCAATTTGTAATTTTAATAATCTTTTATTTAATGGGTTTTAACAATATTTATTACATCATGAGTCTTGGTCAGAAGACAGCATTTGGACATTTCGTAAAGAAATGCAACACTTCCATCAGTCTTCCAAACTGATTCAAGTTATTGGCCTGTGGATCTCTAGGTGGTTTCGCCTTGCACGCTTCTCACTGATAACTATTGCGAACATGCATATGAACTTCTTCAAGCCCCATATCTGAAGAAATTGATGGTAACATACATGAAACTGACTTGGTATTCCTTCCAACATTTTAGTTGCTAATTTCTATTCAATTTATGATCCTTTGGGATATGCTAATATGAATAAAGACCGAAACGAGTAATGTGGCTTGTTAGGATCTTACTAGTTCATTGTGTTGACAGCTGGCTGGTATTCTTTTAGATACACAAAATCTGAATGCTTCAGCTAAACTCTCCATGAATAGAGATGCAGAAGCAGTGCAATTGCTCTTGGTGGGCATGGGCCCAAATTATAGAAACTCACTTTATGACCGATGTATGCATTCATTCTATGCATTTTGTTTTTGTACCAAGTGATATTCAGCTACTAGGTTTGGTATTTTAATCGCTGATTGACAGAGAAATTTCTTCTCTGCTTTGTTCATCAGTGACCCGTGCTAAGCTGGACAATTCGTTTCAAGAAATCCTACTCTACAATTATGGTGACCTTGTTGATGGAGGTACTTAATCATATAGAATTTTTATTTTTTTTGCAATTTTGTAAAATTCTCCTTCTGCTGAGAGCATGTACACTCCATAGGTGAATGTGGATGAATTCCCATTAGATGAAGCTACTACTAACTGTTGGGATTAAAAAAAATTGACAATTTTCAAGCTTCAACATGTATGTTTAACGAATCATCTGGTAATACATTGTTTTTTCCTTTTTTAGCTTAGAATGTCATGAAATGAAGTAAATCTTGAATTCACAATGACATTTACATCTGCACTAAAACCTGAAATGTCTTATAGGAGTTCTTTTTTGTTATACTATATGTATACCGAGCTAAACGATGAGTGAACCAAATATTGTTCAAGAGACTTGTAGAACTGGGTATAAATTGTCTAACTTTTTTGGTTTTTAAAATCTATCCTGAAGCTTCTGAAAAAGACCTTCACATTGGGGTCCTGCACCTGCATCATGTACAAAGTTATAAAGATCTTGATGATTACCTTTCACTGACTACCTTCACATCATTTGCTTGAGTATATCAAGCAGAATCGAGAATGTCACTATTCTTGATGGCTAAAAAAGTTAGTATATGTGGGAGCACGCCAATGGAAAGTGAGAATTTACATATTTTGGTTTCCTTGTGTAATGCAGCATGCTGCCTATAAGTTTACATTTCTTTTTATGGTTTTTCATTCTCAACTAGCAGGTCATGTAAAACACATTTTTGTGGAGGAAAAGCACTAGATTTCTAAAATTAAAGTCATCTACTTGTCATTGTTGAATGTCCCTGTTGTACTTCTCCCATTTATTTCCTCATTTATTTTTTTCTGATTTCATTGCTCATAGTAACAAATGAAAATAAGCCTAGTAATGATCTTCTAAGCAGTGTTTTGTAGTCTTTTCTGTTACACCACTTTTAAATTTGTCACTAGCTCAAATATGGCTTCTCTGGGCTTTCTGTGGTGGTCATAAGATGCTTATATCCATATTAAGAAATCCAAGTTTTGCAGCCAGGTGGCAACGGCAAGTTAGTAGTGATGAATGCATTACAATGTTTAATTACCATGGTTTGCATAATTATTGCCATTTTGTTTCTATCATTGTGATAGACGTTAATCATCCATATGAATGAAACTGTTGTTATATGCACTTGTTTTTTATTGTTTAGTCATACTTAAAATATGTTTGTAAGTCTAATAAGCATGACACAAATAATCAAATAAATTGTCCTGTTCTGATCATAGATGAAGAAGAAAATCGGGATATGGAGCATAGGGATTCAGTCAGAAAGTTACACTCATCTTCTCAACAGTCACATTCATCCACTCAAACAGAAAGAAAGGTGGAAATGTCACATCCAAAGGCTGTGGATGTAAAAAATGTAAAGGCTTGTGTTCTACCATCAAAAATGGGTAAGCTAAGATTAATCTTCAGGGCTATATTGCTAATGCATTATTTTATTTGTCAATTACAAGGTGATCAATGCCATGCTTGTGATTTTTATTTTCTTAGTGAAGTGTTTGAGCCATATGAATCCGATTTTTTGACAAGTTAGCATGCCAATTCTTCCTATCTATCTACACGCACTCACAGCTTCAGTTTTGACATTCATGTGTGACAAATGGGGAAACCCATATCCAAATTTGGAATAGATGTAATCCTCCAAAATCGCATACATGTTATCCAGACATTTCACAAGAAATATTAAATTACCCAGCAATTGGTTAGTTACAAAAAGGCACTACATATGTACCCAGAAAATGAAAAGGACGACATTGTGTTGTCTAGAAGTTTTCGTGATTAATTATCCAGGAAAAAAATTGTTCCCAACACTCAACCAGTGGATTTGCATTGGAGACAAGGAGATGGACTAAAAAATCTGATTTTAAGGGAATGGGATACAGTAACGGCAGGGGAAGTGTAATGCATTGATGAATTTTTTGTTGTTCGGAAAATAGTTAGAGTGAAATAAGGGACATCACTCTCCCACTGGATGCTGATGCAAGGAGCATGTGTACCACCAAATATGTCATTAATTTGATTGTAACTCCCTCTTTGTTCATGACCATGACCCCTAAAACCATATTCTTTCCAGGACCATAGGGACCATATTGTAGTTTCTCTCATTCCACTACACTAGAAGCGAGCAGGTCTCAAGACGTTTCAATGTAATTGTGAAATATGTGCCTGTTTCTGCCTGTTGCCTTTTTAGACATACTAGTGTCCGATTTATTATACAGGTGTGGGTTCTGCAATTATGTTGCTCTAATACATGTTTGGTCCTTGGGGTTTGCAGATTCTTCGTTTCTTTCATTATTCCTATCTCACATGCATCAGTATGTACTTTAATGAATTGATAAGAGTTATGTCGATTGTGCCTCAAAGTATTCGATTTGATAAATGTTATCATGGTGTATGGAAGTTTCAATCTAGAGGATTTTAATTGCATGAAAAATAAATACAAGGCAGATAAAGATGGCGTAAAACATTAAGTCCAAAAGTATGGTTTATGAAGTATGGATTTTCGCGTGATGGCTCTGCAAAACTACATCTTGCTTTAATGTATTCAAAGTTTGATAATGACTTATTCAACTGTTTCTGTAAGAATTTGTATGACAAGACTAATTGAGTTATCTGACATGACTGCAATATTATAGTTGTTCAAGCATAGCTTAACATCCTCAGCTATATATTTTTCAGGACAAATGGATCACAAATCAAATAAAGATTTGCAAGTTTTATGTGAGATAACAAATAAGATCAATACTGCATTAGCAATTTCATTAGAATTAGAAGGAAAATGAAGTTCTGGTGCATTCAAATCGGTTTCAAAGTATCCAATTTGGAGTCATAGCCTTGTATATGCAGATGTCTAGCAAAAAAAACCTACAGTTAATTGCACAATTATTTTGTGCACCAAGCTAGACGCAACTTCCACTCGATAAATTGTATCTAGCATCTTAAAAATTTGGCTTTTTATTTCTCATGGATGAGGTTATCCTTGATTAGGTATCAGGAAGTAGAAGAGGCTCTATTTAATTTATTTTGCATCGTTCACAGATTTACCGAAGCCAGCACCAACAAAGACAAATGACGCTGGTGGAAAGAACAAGTTTTTCTTGGCCAAGTGGTTTGGGTTTGGTTCGAAGTGATCAAGGGACTTCTCAATGCACAATTATTAGTCGTTTATGGGGATTTTCTTCAAATGCTCCAAGTTAGTTAAACAAGATGACATGAAGCTTTCAAAGAATTATCAATTAAGTGACAACTGAGTTAATCCACAAAACAAGCCACAAAACAAAAACTAATAAATTGCCTTTGTTGAAGCATGCAAGTGTGTGGATTTTTTCACATTAAATACACCCCATGTATGTGATTCATAACCTGAAATTATGTCCATGGTAGTGTCATATATTTTTGTTATTGCTGATCCAAATTTTACTTGCGCTATGACGAACTTTCTCATAGATTAAACCTTTTTCTTGGCCATTAGATTATATGGAGACACCAAGTATGCTTCTCTCTTTATGTTTGTGGTAATTATTGAGGCAACTACTTTTTGTGTCAACATTTGCAATTTCAAGTAAATATTCTTTTGAATCTTCCGGGGTGCCTAAGAATCTCAAGAGGTATCTTGAGAATCAAAATGTCGTTAAAACTCTAAATGCCTTGCGAAATTTGACACACGGAATGTATTTTATTTTACGTGCAACAAGAAACTCTTGTAATTTAATGTGATGGAATTGGCATCCCCTGTTTTTTCATCAATGCTCTGGATTCATAAACTATGATGCTTCCCAAAGGGAACTTCCTCGGGCTTCTCATGATTCCACCACCTTTGCTTCCAGCATGAGAAAATCTCTCTCTCTCTCCCTCACTCAGAGTCAAGTATGGCTGGCAGTGGAGCCAGATCAGCCCGGCCCCGAAAAACAATACAAAATATGGCCCTTGCGCTAGGACAGACTGAGCACCAAGGCCTGAAGGCAGGGCCAAGCTTACAATATTGCCCGGTCCGCTGTTCTCATTGATTTTTCTTAGTTTGTCAAAAAACGTATATTGGTCTGGGCCTTTGGGCACTGCCCCGAACTCCTTGGGGCATGGTCCCTTTGGCCAAGTCTGGGATCCGACCAAGCTTGGGCTGGGGAAGGCCCCACCCATACACATTTACTCAGTTCGGGTATCATACACATTTACACCATCAGGGTATCATACACATTTACTTCCTCTGGCAAAATACTTATAAGGTAGTTTTATTTGAATTTTGTAGATCAATCTAATTATAACTAGCTAATTATTTTCAAATAAAATTTTGGATTTTGAGCTCTTGAAACATCTAGATAACTCCCTCCAAAACTTTGATGGTTCCAATGCAATCTTGGGATGCCATTTTGTTTACGTATAGCATGAGATATCAAATTTTCTTTGCTCGAGGGTGGTCTCTATGTTCTAGATTTTGCCCGAGGGAATAGATAGATAGTATACTCCAGTGGGAGTAAGAAATTTTTGGCTCTCCTCCTGAATGGAAAAAAAAGAAAAGGGACTAGCCACATTACCCCAAAGCCGTTGTGTTCATTATCTTTCATAATAATACCCATTATATCCACCGTAAATCCATTATTTTGGGGAGACTTATGAGCATTTAAAAAATAAACAACAATTATATATGTTAATATCTGTCATTTTTAATAAAGTCAATATATTATTGTAAAAAATAAACAACAATTATATATGTTAATATCAGTCATTTTTGGTAATAAAGTCAATATATTATTGTTTTATAGCACTGATAACATGAACGCGGAGTAAATAGGACAATTCCTTGTTAATTGTCTTTCAACTTTATTTTCTCTCATTGAATAAAGAGGAAATTATGTACTGACACTATTGGAGTGATCAATTACCGTGCTCATTTGTCCAAAATTAGGAGCATTTTTTTCCCTAAATTACTCTCGTGTCTCGCAATACAAATACGAGACAGTAGGGTTTTTATTTTCAAACTCGTTGGGGTTTCTATTTTCGCACTCGTGAGGGCTGTTCGGCGATAGGTGTCCATTTAAATTTGGTTGAGTTTGCTGTCCGATATTCGAAATACCCGTGTTTCTTGGGGTATTCATAAGACATTCAACATTGGAGTATTGGACAATTGAACATTGAAAACTCAAACCCATTTCTATGGTTTTTCTCGAGGCATTCATGACATTCAACATTGCTCTCTACCGTCACCCTCCTCTTCCATTCTCTCACTAACCACCACCACCTTCACCCCATTTCTCATTCCCCCTTTTTCTTCTCGCCTTCCTGCGTGGCGGTAGGTCCATAAGAGTACATAAGGGCTTTGGTTGAGGAGAGAGAATTAGGCAGACAGGAGTTGTACAAGAAGGGGATGGCCATGGCCAAAGTTTGATACGATTGGGGCCAGTGAGGATTGGGTCAATGGTGGTGGTGTTGAATTCTTGAGTGGGTGAGGGGGAGACAGAGAGATAGGGTTTATTGGGCCTTGCAGAGGCGAGAGAGTTGAAGGCGATTAGTACTCATGTTTAGCACAATATTTCACCTCTTCAAAACTTTTTTTTAAAAAAAAAAACTGTCTACTCACACTTACGTGTGTTTGGGTGCACTAGTTTTATTATTTTTCCCTCTCTTGCACAAAATAAACTCTCATATAAATTTGTCACATGTCTGTGTGTAGGCTATACAACCAATCAAAAAAAGTATTATTGCATTAATCCTATAATTAATTATGTGAAAATCTCACGACATATTATTATTTTTAAAATATACATCTTTATCAAGTCCAATTGCACTCTACTGCATCTACACATGCACTTGATTTTTCAATCTTCCCTAGATTCAACATTCTTAGTTCTCAGGGGTTTGACTCTAATGAGCCAACCAAGGTTTAAAAAAACGAATCGGTGACTCGAATTGGTCACACCCATACCCGTATCGGATCGGTGGAATTGGTGGATCGGCTCGAAATAATTGCCGGAATCGCTAATATTTGTTTCATTTTTTTAAAAATAATTCAAGAAAAATGGTCATCTTTTCTTTTCGCTTGACTCGGTGAAGAATCGGTCGAAATCAGTGAAGAATCGACAGAATCCACGATTTCACAAAAAAATTGACGATTCTACTATTTGGAACTGCCCGACTCCCTTTTTTGTACTATTTCGAAGCGTCCTATGCGATTCCCTATCCGGATCGGGTCACCGATTTTTTAAACCTTGGAGTCAACTACTTAACATATATCACCTACACTCCCTCAACAACTTCACTTATCTTTTCGTAAGTGAATTCTCCGGATCATTTTAACTTGTTAGTGGGCAGCTCATCCCATACATGCTTTCCAAAAACTACTGGCTTTTTCTTTCATAAGTCTATCTTTTTAATATCGGCAATCTAGACTCCAATATTGGCATATAGCTATGAATGGGGAAATCGCAATTTTAGAGATGAACCACACTTGGGATTTAATTTTGTTGGCCCCTGACAAGCATGTCATTGATAGCAAATTAGTTTACAAGGTGATGTAAATAAAATTAGGGTTATTTAAATTTTTTATTTTATTATTCTTTTTGTTTACTTTTCTTAAGAATATGGAGTGAGGTAGGATAATTAGGTGGGCATGAGTTCATTTTGTGCTTGAATTGATAGTGATCAATTGGGTTAGTTAATTTCTAAAAAAAGAGGAATATAAATATGATAAGGTTAAATCTAAAAGGTTTATCTTTTCAATAATAACCAACATTGGGGAGGCTTTGGGTAAAACGTGAGCTAACTATTTTAGAAGCAAATCTTTAGCACGTGATGGCACATGAAGTTAAGAGAGAGAAAATAGGGACGAGAGAAAATAAGTTAAGAGATAAAATAGGAATAAGAGAAAGTAGGAAAAGTCCGTGTAGAGAGAGGTTTTTTTTTTCTTTAGTTATTGTTTATCTTCTTTTTAGTCTATTTAAAGGGAAATATCCCTTCATTGTAAATTAGTAAATGAGTCGAATAGAATTGGTCTCGTGAAGAGATTGTTTTTGGGGTGGATTTCCTTGTAGACATTTGAGAGAGAGTATATTCTCTCAACCTTTTTTTTATGATTATTGTTATTATTCTGGTTTTATTTTCTCCCCACATCAATTGGAATCAGAGCAAGTTAGATCTAAGCAAATTAGATCTACATAGACCAAGTTAGATCCAGAGAGATCTAATTTGTTTACAATGCCACCAAATGCTAATCAAGCTAATCATGCTGCTTCTAATCAAGCTAATTCTTCTCTTGCTATGGATGATTGTTGGGGACAAACTATAGAAATTTTGACTAAAGCCCTAAAGGATTTTTGAATTGAAGTACGTGAGATGAAACAGGGGATGCAATAATTGGATTAGGGGGATGAATCAAGGTATGCAATGGTTGGATCAGAGGTTGGAGCGGTTGGATCAAAGGTTGTTGCTGTTGGAGAACAATCTTCTTTGTGAAGAAGGTACTTACAGCCACATTCATCTTGCGCTAGTAATTCCACGATAAACCCAGGGTATTAATTTAAAGTGTAACGAAGAAATTTATATAGAGTGACTACCAGATTTTTATATTAAAATCGATCTCCCAAAATTTCATGGTCAATAGTGTTCATCGATTGCAAATGGTGCTTCTTTGGAGCTTGACTCATTCCTAGTTAGGAATAATCAGCCCAAGCTCGTATTCAACAATTACCCTTGAAACACAGTTGCAAGCAAAGAATCTTACATCAGTCTTGAAGTAATTGAAGAAAAAGTATTGATGCTCATGGTGGGACTTCATCACCAACTTTTGAGAGGCCCCCTAAAAGATTTGAGTTCGATAAGCTCGAGGTCGAGCTTCTCCCAACCCGGGGACAATGATACAAATAAAATTTGTGTTATTTTAATTTTTTTATTTTTTTATTCTTTTTATTTATTTTTCTTAAGAATATGGAGTAAGGTAGGATAATTAGGTGAGCATGAGTTTATCTTGTGATATTGATGAATTGGGTTGGTTAGTTTTTAAAAAGAGATTAATATAAATAGGATAAGGTTAAATCTAGAAGGTTTATCTTTTCAACAATAACCAATATTGGGGAGGATTTGGGTAATCTTTGACAGGTGATGGCACATAAAGTTAAGAGAAAGAAAATAAGGATGGTTAAGAGAGAAAATAGGGAGAAGAGATTAAGTAGGAAAAATGTGTATAGAGAAACTTTTTTGTTTATTTATTGTTATTTAAATGAAAATATCCCTCCATTGTAAATCAATTAATGAGTTAAATAGAATTTGGTCTAGTGAATAGATTATTTTTTAGGTGGGTTCACTTGCAGACCTTTGAGATATAGTATATTTTCTCAACCTTTATTTTTTTTTTGTTATTATTCCCATGTTATTTTTTCCCAGTATCACAAGGTTAAATTA